TATGACAAAGCTGGTGCTTAGGCTCTGGAGAGAATTGTTTCTCCAAGGGTGTCTGAGTCAAAACCCTCAAACTCCCGAGGGCACAGAGGAGCACCCAGGGTTGCAGCTCTGGTGAGGAGCAGGAATCACAGACCTTGGTGAGGGGGAAGTCTCCCCCTCTGCCTGACACGACTGGGAAAGAGGAATTTGAAGGGAGTGGGTGTTTCAGCTCCAAATAACTCTTCCTTTAACATAAGAAAATTACCCTGGATCATAGGGGGAAGGACCATACTTGTAAGTTCTTGTATTGCTTGGGGAACTCTTAATTTCTTAGTGGTTTTGCACTTAGAGTAATTGAGATAGAAACTGTTTCCAGAACTGTATTGACTCTTCACTCTGCAGTTGCATGTTGTCACATAGTAGCTCTAGCAAGTCACTGCTCTGTAAAGAGATTATTTCTTATATTTTGACAGTTTTTAATATATTTTACCTAGTGTCAGATGGTGAGAAAAATCATACTGACTTCAGAAAGGGCTTCATAAGCACAGTGTGTAGAAACTGGTTATCATGCTTCACAAGTAGATTAGATTTCAATTGTAGGTTCAGGTGTTAGTGTATGTTGTGCCACTGATAAAATTTCATACTTAGTATTTTAAAAATATTTATATTTAGAGGAATGCTCAAAGTAGGGTGCAACTTCGTGAAAGCAAGCAGTTAGAGGGTTTTAAAAACTGGGTAAGGCCCTACTTTAGTTAAAGTGTAGAAAAGGAGCTGACAATAAAGGGGACACTTAAAACATTTAAATTGATAAATTCATTCATTCTTTTCAGTGAGTGACGAAAGGATTTCTCACACATACTGTCCTTCAAGGGAAGAACAGAACTGATGCCATATCTCTGTTGCAGTCTTGAAAGGGGTAATATTCTTGCTACTGCTGCTGCTCAAACCCCCCTGCAAAGCAGTGGAGCCCTTTGCAGTTCCCCAGGGCCTGCAGCCCCTGTGCCGAGGAACGGGGCACAGAGAGCCCTTTATGGGAGATCCCGAACAGAGCCCGGCCTGTGCTCGCTCCAGGCCTTCAGAGAACTGTGCACAAGTGAGACTTGTAGCTGCTCGTGTCGTTCTGTAGCTGTCACATACTTTGTGTGTGTTGGATGGTGATGAAAATGTACTGCTACAGCCTCCTGCAGCTCCTCCAACCCTGCTGAAACTATTGCAAGCTCAGCGCTGAAAACCTCTGAAAAATGAGTTAAATGCATTAAAAGCAAAATTGTCCTGTTGGCAAGAGGAGTTTACCTTTCCTGGTATTCATCATTTGGAAAGCTGTAATGTAGATGTACTTCAGTTTTGTTCCATTTTGCTCTGATTTCCATGTGTTTTATCAGAGGTCAGAAGCACTTGCTGAGTCAGGCCTGCTCTGGAGCTCACCAGGCCACAGAGCACAGGCTGGGCTGGATGAGAGCAGAGCAGTTGTGCTGCTTATGTTGGAACTGATTATTCTGCTCAGTGCAAATGATGGGTCACAGGTCCAGTGCTCAGTATAAAACAGCTACTCAGCAAGTGCCTGTTCTGGGGGGCTTGAGAGCTTCTCTGCTCATCAGAGGTTTCACCTTGTCTGTGCTGGCAGCTGAATTCTGCCCACGAAGAAGACAAAGGGCATGATGTTTGAAAGCCAAAGACAGCATCACGTTGCAACCTGAGAGGGTTGTGTAATGTAATTTTGTGTAATGTAATTTTATGTAATGTCATTTGAGTAGCTTTGATCTTAAAATTTTGTGTAGTGAACAAGCCATGAATGGGGATTTTCTGCAGGGTTTCAAGCCTAGAGAGCAATGGGCCATATCAGTCCTGGGAGCTTAGCAGCTGTAAGCTAGAGCTGTATGGTATATTAACCTGCATTTAGGGTACAGGGAGGGGTCACTGCCATGTCCAGACATCCCCCTGCAGCAAAGCTTTGAGTCCCACCTGGATGGTCCCCTTTCTGTTCTAGTTTCTGTGCTTTGTTGCATGGGAAGCTCTAGTGCTGCCTCTCTTTTCCCAAAGCCAGCTTATCCAGTGTCTCCTCCCTTTCCTAGCATTTCTGTAGATATAAATTACCAGACAGAAAAAGATCCATACAGAAAATCCTCTGCAGACACTTTCCAGTAAGATTCATTTCGAAATACGACTAAATTTCTTTCCTGCAGTGCCTCATCTTAACTATTTGTTTATTCAGAGAGTCAGTTGAATCAGTTTAAAAACTGATTTAAGTAAACTGTTGCAAATATTTTTATGTGTCTATTTACAGGTTTTAAAACAAGCAAGTTCTATTTTGTTGGAAACTTTTCTGGTGGGTTTTATTCAAGAATGCTTGCACACAAAGTTGTGTGTGTTTGGCTATACAATTTAGCTAGAGTGTGATTTTTAAATTGGCATAGCTTTGCATTTTATACCAATTCTCCTTTATACTGTATATCTCCCTGCCAAGAAACCTGCTTCCACTCTACAGATAGACTCACTGCATTCTTTTATTCCCTGCTGTAATGTGAATGAAGTAAAGCTGTGCTGGAGATGGCCATGTTAGGGTAATTAAGCTCGATTACAGATTTCCTTTTCAAAACTTTCCCAAAAAAAAAAAAAAGTCTTAAATCAAAAAACACAGAATAGAAACCTTGGCTACTACTTGAAATTTTCATGGTTTGATGAAAAATGGTGTCGGGAGGGGGGAAAGCATTAAAAAAAAAAATCCCATTGGCAGCTTTCCATCGAGATTTGGGTTTGTTTAAGCTTCCTCTTGTAAGAAGTTTTAAACAGTTACTGATTTGTACATCTATCTTCGTTCATCCATTCCAGTGATACTGGTTGTTGCCAGATGGAAGGTAAACCAGCGTCAGCCAGGTCTTGTGTGTGAAGTTAGAGTTCCTTGAGAGCTCTCAGTGGTATTACAGCAGACACAAAACACATGCTTGTGGTGATGGAGCTCCAGCGTTTGGCAGTTAGAGCAGAATGTATTCCCTGTCTTGGAGTACCTGTGATGGTTCTCCCCTGGAAAGATTGATGCTATCTGTCGGAAAAATCACCCCCCACCCCCGAGTGGAATGAGGAGAAAAAGCAGAGAATAAGAATGTAACATAGACAGGAACGAGTCTGAGCAGTGGTTGGTCTCATGAGAAATACCAGGGGCCCCTGCTCTATTCAGTGCCTTCTCCCAGCTCTGGTGTGTTCCTTGGATACTGGGCAGCTGAACTGATGCTTCTTTGTGGCAGTCGAGCTTGGAGCAGCATTTTGGAGCCAAAGCCAGTATTCCTGTGTTTAAAATGAGTCCTGAGACAAGAATGCTGCTCCACCACTCCAAGTGTCTCTGGAGTACCAACAAACAGCTGAACAGCCTTTCAGGGCTGTTGGGCTTCACTGTCTCCACAGCAAAGGACCTTATTAGAACCCTCATGTTTGCAATTACATATCATGAAAAATCTCCGGTATTTTTTGTGATGTTGCAGGCCCTCTTCTAGTGGGGTTAAGGAAACGTAACATTTTTTGGACTGCTAATTGTGGAAAACCTTAAGCTTCCTTTTTATTGCTGCATGGAAAAATCTGTCTGGTCTCTTGACCTGAGCTTATTTCCTTTGTCCTTTGCTAAGCACAGGCTTGCAAATTATTCTTAGTTGTTTGTTTGCTAGTTAACACCTGCAGTAACAGTGGTTTCACTTTGCTCTACTGTACCCTGTGCAACACACCAGCGTTGTAGCTCTTGGATTATCTCTGCTAGAACATCTAATATTTAAACTATATTATTATCATAATTTCACTATTTGACATACATTCATATATTTGCACAAGAGTAATGCACACTGTAATGTGCATTTGACAAGCCAGGGTAGATTGAGTGTTCCAACAGGGAATGTATCCTTTGCAATCAGGAGAAAAGAGCACGGGGATTTACTCCAGGGTAAATAGACTGTCTCTGCTGTGTGCTTTCTCTCTGGCTGGGAGGAGACATTCATAACTGCCAAATAAATTCAGTAATCAATGGTAGAGTGTAAATGGTGTTGTTGTAGGTGCTATTCCAGAGCTGTTGCAGAGAAAATGTAATAAATCTTCCAGACTTTGTCTACTAGAGGAATTTACCATGGGAAGAAGTATTTGGTGTCCTAAGTGTGGCTGTAGGGCACAGAAATACTGTGATGGGCCAGATATTTATTGGCTTAATCTTGTCTTCAGCATGGGTAAATATTGCTATCTTAAACTGAGTATTTGCAGCTATTTAAATTGTAGAACCAATGTAGTTGAATAGGTGAAAATAAAATTTTATTTCCCGGAGTTGTTACCTCAGTGTTGGCATTACCAGCAATTTGTGTGTGCTCTCCTCACTAGGACAGCAGTGGCATTTTTGCAATCCAGCACCTTCTGCTTTGGTACAGATTCATTTCATCCCTCTGCTTTCCCAATTATGGCACCATTGCCTTGCTGAATGCCTTACCTGTTTCTTTCTCTGACACTGATTGTGACATGAGATTACAGAACTGATTAGCACTTTATTATTTTACTTCAGTTAAACAAACATAAAAATCTTTAGGACTCTATATTTAGTAAAACAAGAGTGTGATACTTTATCTCTCCTTGGCTGAGTCACAGGTTAATCTTAGAACTAGAACAAGTAAAATTTAGATGAGATTTGGTTGGAAAGGTTTTGAAATCACAGTGGGTGAGCAAATATTGTATATCTTGGTGCTGAAATGCTCTTGTTTTTTTTTCCACTTACTTCTTCTCTAATTATACCTACCTGAATAATACGTGGTTTAAACTGTCCTTTTTAACCACGTTTAAAGGTTACTGTGCAAAACCTCAAGTGAAAGCTTACTAAAACTCATTTTAAAAAGTTATTTACTGGCATCAATACTAAAAATAGACAAAATAGTTTGGACTAATTTTGAGAAACAGGGGTAGCTTCTGAAAGATTCTCCCTCGTGGAACGCTGATTATTATGATAATAAAAAAATATTATTATATATTGATACATGTTTTTCTCTCTTATTTTTTGGTAGAAAATGATGCACCCTGTTGCCAGCAGTAATCCAGCTTTCTGTGGGACCGGCAAGAGCTCTTGCCTTACCGAGGACAATGTGAGAGCCACGGATCAGTTCGACCTTTACGCCACCCAGCAGAGCAAGTACGGCCACGCGGTCGCCCACAAACCCATCGCCTGCCAGAGACAGGACGCCCTGAGCGAGGCGCACTTGCAGACCACGAGTGGCAGGAGTTTAGAGACAAAAGATGAACTGAAGAAAAAGAAAAACCTCAACCGCTCCGGGAAACGTGGGAGGCCCTCAGGGACCACCAAATCAGCAGGGTACCGGACCAGCACAGGCCGACCCCTGGGGACCACCAAAGCAGCTGGATTTAAGACAAGTCCAGGCAGACCCTTGGGTACAACTAAAGCAGCAGGATACAAAGTCAGCCCAGGCAGACCTCCAGGTAGCATTAAAGCTCTATCACGGCTTGCAAATCTAAATTATACTTGTGGCAGTGCAGCTTTTCCTTACCCTATGGTGCATAACAGAGGAGTACACGCTGCTGGTGAAACTAGTAGCAAAATCAAACAGCCTAATGAATGAAAGGAGGGAATTAGTAACTTCTTACTAATCTGCTTTATGCTGATTTTGGGCATGGTTCTCACGTTTTGTTGTAATGTTTGTCTAAGTCTGGGTTTCTAGATTTTATTTCTATTCAGATAATGCCATAGCCTGTGGGTACAGTTCATAACATTTACAGTCATGTTAAGAAGGCTTTGGTTTAAAGGGGCTTTTGTTGGGCTTAAATCATAATTGATAAGAAAGTCTGAAGTGATGAATTACGCCTTGGTGTCAATACTTAGGTAATGTCCATGTCCCTAATTTTACATCCAATTTCTCACAAATCTAGATGTGGTAATGCATTAAGTATTTGAAATAAGGAGGACAGAATTAGCTGGCTGATGGATCATGATGTGGCCTGTCCCAAAATAAGCAACTTAGGCAGTTAAGTTCTTACTTGATAAGAAAAATTGATAAAGAAAGCAGCGAGCTACGTTTTCCACTTCTGCAGGAGCCTCTAGGGACCTCAAATAGATACTTAAAAACTAAATGAAAAAACCCCAGCCTTTTCTTTTTAAGGTGATTTCAGGTGGCTTTTGTTTCCGGAGTTGTAGCATTAAGTGAATTACAACTAATGCTCCAAAAATATTTTTGAAGATACTAGAGAGACCTGAGCATTTGTACAGTGTGTTACAGCTTCACAGCCTTACTAAGACAAGTTAATTTGCCTTTGGGTGAGAGCTGTTCTTTTAGTTACACTGTCACTGCTGTGTAATTGTGAAATGCCTAATAGTACATATACCAAACCACAAATAATTCTTTGAGATTTGAAATATTTTATAAGAAATTAAGTACTGTTCATTCTGGTTAGGCACTTGGTTAATATTAAGCAGTAAGTTCTTAAATCTGTAAATAGCTATTTACGCTGGCTTTGGCCTTTAAAACCTGTGCTTAGATGGCGACAGTTTAATAGCTTTTAAAGTATTAACCTATAATGTTTACAAATTAAACTTTTTAAATAGACACTGTTGCCAAATTTTTAGACTCAATTTTGCCAGATATTCCTGGAAATAAAACTATTTCGTTGTTTGACACTTATAGTATATTTAAGTTATGTAAGCTTATATATCTACCAAAGGACAGCATTTTCATGATTTATAAAGGCAAACTGTATAGCTGATGCAAACAGGATGCAGTTTACTGCACTGCTACACCCCAGATACAGAGTAATTCATCTATGCATGAAAGCTGGAAAAAAAATGTTGTTGGTTAACTATAAATACCTTTCTTGACTCAAACTAAAACCTTCCTTCCTCCCAAAAGAACTGCTCCATTTTTCAACTGGGTGTGTTTAATTTTTTTTTAAGTGTGAGAGAGTGTGTGAATGGGTAAAATACTTTCATCTAGACTTCAAAAAAGTCAGTCCTCAATGTTGCATATTCTTGGTTCTAAATTTATTTTACTGAAATTAAAGCTTTTTTTTTTTAATCTGGAAGAAAGTTTACATTTAAGTCATTTCACATATAAAATGACTTTGTGATAAATTTGTAGCTTGAAATATCTGGGGAGGGGGGAGTTTGCAGATTTGGGGGAGCATAAAAATTTGGGTTAATTGAGCTTGTGCTAAATGGATAACGATGCTGATAAGTTTTGTTAACATAAATGTTATTCTGGCCTGCTGTCATTTTGATGAGACCTCTTGATTTCAGTGTTGACAATTTAAGAAACAGATGTCATGTTTCATACCTTTTTTATCAGGAAAAAAGCAGCAAGCCTTCAGGTGTTCCAGTGATGCCTAACACATATTGAGCTGGACTTTTGCTGTACTTTACAATAGGTGTGTTGAATGGTTTTGGGGGAACTGTGTATGCACTGGCAACTAAGACAATGAACCTCAACTTATACTGGATGGCTCCTTAGTCCATAGATGAACTAATGGCAGCTAAACTGCTACTAAGGAATAGTTTCTTCATGCTGAAGCTCTGAAATCCAGTTGTACCTTCTGTTCCTCAGCAAACTCTCCAGTCTGACCTTTAGCAGCCTCTCTCAGAACGAGGTAACTTCTGACACGTGCAAATGCTAACGTGAGCTCATTCACCCTCAGGATCTGTGTTGTGGTGGCTGTTTTTAATCAGATGATTTTTCAACTAAAGACTGCTTTAAGTTCTTTCCTGAACTCAGCTGGGCAAGCAGTCCTCTTCAGCTGAATGTATCACTGCAGGAGTGTCACACCTCGCTGGCAAGGAACGTGTTGCATGTCACCACTGTCCCTTGGAGAAACTCCACTCCTTACCTCCTCCTGTTTATCCTGTTGGCTCCTGCTCCGTTCCTCACTTGTGCATCCACTCAATGGTGCTGTGCTGTGTGTCAGGAGATAATGCAGATGTATTGCTGTTCTGCTAGTATAATTTGTATTCAAGTATGCTGATGAAATAATGAAATCACCTAAGCAATTTCTGTTCATTACAGTGTTTATTAATTATATCAGATGGAATATAATCCCAGTAAAAACTAATTAATGTTGTCAGTTGTGAAATGATGAGCATCAAGTAGAAAAGTGTTCAGAGTCTGTAATGGGCTGCTTGGCACTCCAGATTTAGGAAGGAGACCAGAAGTGCACTGCTGGGCACTTCCTAATCTGCTCTATTTTATATCTGACTGGAGTTTACTGGTGCCCTGCAGTGAGGGGAAGGAAAAAGAGGATAAGAGATTCAAAGTGACTAGAAATGGAATTTTCAAATACTCCTGCTCTTCCTATGTGTACCCTGCAGAATACATTGTGCTTTTTTCAACACTTTTCTTTCCATGAGAAACACTGAAACAGCATGTTAATGCCTAAACTTTATTAGTACCAATGGGAAAACTGGCCTTTTCCCCCCATAGTATGAAAACATTACTTGTAAGGTAAATTGCTTATTTTATATTATATATCATAATTCAGCTATTCATAAGCTAGGATCACTGTTGTGTGTTAACACTGTTCAGAAGACCCACATGTCAAGTTTGGGTTTTAATAATTTCTTTTAATGATCAAGTTTCTAACGTCTTATTTATACATAAATGAAGTGTATTAGCTTGCTATTATTCCTTAATGATGCTATACAAGTTCACTGTTTAATATACATATAGTAACTACTATTCATTTTCTGATTAAATTTACTTAAACTTTAAAACCAAATAATTTTGCTACTATAAAGTCTTGCACTGGACAGATTCAAGATGCTAGCACCATATTTTGGCAGAAAAAAGTCAGATACCATCAGAAGCAGCTGACTTTGATATCAAAGATAGTATTTTTGAAATCAGCACTTAGCTTTGTCATTAAAGCAATGTTCTTTATATCTTGGATTTAGTTTGAACTAATGGAAATAACTAGAGCCATTAAAGATCTCTCTTCTGAATGAATATATTTTCATTTTGTCTGAAGGATCTTAGAGTTCAGTCAGGACAAGACCAAGCATTGTCAGTGAAGAGTGATGTGTCTGTGAAAAGAATTACCTGGAACTACAAAACACAGAGTAATTCAGATGAGAATTAACTCCCTCCCCCATTTTTGAAGAGCTTTAAAAGGCAGAGCAATGTGAAGTCATTTGTGTGATGGTTTCATTAGCTGTGACTCTGCTGTTCTTTGTTATATGTATAATAATGTTTCACACTATCCTTAGAGTTGACAGTTGAAACAGCTGATAACAATCATAAATACTTGGAACTGCAAACTTCATTTCTGACCACAAAAGAAGTTTATTCTTCTCTATTTTAATGCATATATTTTAACACTGCTTAAATATATTTATGACTTTAGTAGAGATTAGACCTTTCTCCTTGTGATTTTTTTTTTTTCCCAAATAGAAAAATCTGTATTCTAAAATTTGAACCACTTTCTGATACTTTAATCTTTCATCATTTCCTTTTCCACAGGTTTACTTTGGGGGAAACAATAATCTGTTAAATAATTAGTATTATCAGCACCCTGTCCTCTGCTGTAAAAAGCCTGATTAGATACTGTGTATGTTTTTATGTCCATGAACTTGAGCTACTCGTGTGCAATTATGTGTATGGGAATGGAGTAGTGTTCATGATCTGTATTTACATCATCATATGGATGTATATTTATTAATAAAGTTAATACTTTAAAACCTAACCATTTTTTCCCTGTTGTTTTTCTTTTTTTTTTAATATCTTATAAATTCTGGCTGAAGATCCCTGTTGACTGTTACCTGCTTGTTACAGGCAAGTTACATATATTTACATGAAGGCAAAAAGCCTCTATGGATGGCAAGATATCAGGAAATGTTGCTCATTTTTTAATGAACTGAAAACACTGCGACAGTAACTTAATTGTTCTTGTCCTTTCTCTCAAATGGAAGAGGGGAGGAAAGAAGTTATAGCCATATATGGGTAAATAGGAAGCTGCTAACTTTTTTTTTTTCCGTTATTGTACATGGAAATCAGTTTGCAAGTACTCAGAAATGAAACTTTTCATGGAATGGTGGTCATTAGTCATTATTCTGTGATGAATAAAATGTCCTTATCCCTGGATGGGAACAATATTCCAGTTTATCTCTGTTGGTAAGATGTGCTCTGCATACCACTCAATGCCTCTTTTTAATTTTTTTAATCTTATTTTTTTTCCTCTTCACTGAAGTGTCTCAATAACTTTGGGGCAGACAGACAGTGCTGCCTACCAGAATCCAGACTCCCAGGTCTGCATCCTCCCCTTGTTTTCCAGCACCCTTTTTTTCTTCCATGAACTTCAGAAGGCCTTGAATACATCTGGGGTTGGGACTTTCCAAATGGCAGTTGCAGTTATTTTGCAGACTTTTTTCTTTAACCTGAAAAGAACATCTGATGCCTTGTTTGTTTGTGTGGGTTTTTTGTTTTGTTTGGGGTTTTGCTTGTTTGTTTGGCTTTTTTTTGTTGTTGATTCTGGTAATGCTAAATATTTGGCTTTCAAAGTGACTGGATGTGTTCAGAACAGAGTTCAGCTTCAGTCTGCTACATCCTGCTCTAAAAATCAGTTCCTGGATGTGATTCTTGAGCAAAATGGATTATTTTCTTGGTTCTAAGTATTAGCTATTAAATCACACAAATGATATCATAGAAGAATACAGGCTTTCAGCTCGACTGCTTCCCTGGCTGCTGTGTTCCCTGCCACGGAGGGAAGGATGGAGGCTGCAGGGCAGGCTGTTCCCTCAGTGCACACCTGGTGTGGTTTCTGATGACAGTTTATGATTTATTCATGCTGACAGACTGGCAGTGGTGGGGTATCAGCTACACAAGCTGGACATCTTCAGAGAGTCTTTGAGATGGTTCTGTCTCCTAATAATTTCAGATTTCTGTATGGTGAGACACCAGGGCTTGTTCTGGGGCTGGACTGGCATTTTATGTTCGGTACCTGGTGTTACTGAGCAGTCCAGCTGCACAAGTCTCAGCTGCACTAATACCCACCAAGTTTTCATGGGTGCAGAAAGACTCATGTTTTGCAAATCTTCCTGTTTGCTAAATTTCAGCTCCTTCCCTAGCAAGCAGCTTTTCTAATGTGGCCAAGATTTTTGAATAGATGCAAAACAGCGTATTTTTTAACAGACTTTTTCCAGAAAACAGACATTTGGCATTAAAAATCAGAAAAATGCAAGCCACTGAAAATAATTTTGAAGCAAAACTACCAGGCACATTAAATGTGCCTTCTCTGTAATGCCTAAGCACTGGCAGACTATGTTGGGAGTCAGGTGTGGCAAAGCCTGACTATGATTCTGAGGAGTTCAGTTGTGTTCCATTGATAGATTAGAGTCACCATAAAAAAAATACCATTTTGATTTATGTATGGCAGGAAGGGTATTATGTTAGGATTAAATTCACAGTAAAATATCATTTCCAAGTTAAAAATGCTGCTTTGCCCATACTCAAGCATAAGGACAATGGGGAAAGGGGCAGCTTTTTCCTCACTAGTCCACACCACCTTGGATTCCTTTTGTGTTTTTGCTTTCAAGCTTGCTCTGTATCAGCTGGTCTAATTAAATATTTTCTTTTTATGTGCAAACCTCATGTTTTCTATTTTTAGGCTAACATGTCCTCAATATCGGTGATTATGTGAATAGGACTTTAAAGAAAAAATTTCAAGCAAGAAAATGTGCGTTGTAAGGAAGGACAGAGTTAGAGCTGGAGAAGAGTCCCTAAGTAAAAACCAACCAAAAGAATCCTGGTTTTGTAATGAAGATTACACCCATCTTTATTTTACACATGTGCTTTGCTTTCCCTGCCTTTTTCCAGGATGTGGGTTAATGACCTGAACTCCTTTAAATCAACAGGGAAACATCTCCAGCAGCAGCCCCAGACCCAGCCTGGACGGCAGCTCCAGGTACACGGTGTGGGCTCAGCCCTGCAAGGAGGGGGGTCACAGAATCACAGGATGGTTTGGGTTGGAAGGCACTTCAAAGATCATCTTGTTCTGGCCCCCCTGCCATGGGCAGGGACACCTTCCACTAGCCCAGGTTGCTCCAACCTGGCCTTGGACTCTTCCAGGGAGGGGGCAGCCTCACCTTCTCTGGGCAACCTGTGCCAGGGCCTCCCCCCCCTCACAGGGAAGGATTTTTCCCTAAAAAATTTTTAGCAAATAATTTTTTCCTAATGGTTCAATCTGAACCCATTTCCCCTCATCCTGTCACTACACGCTCTTGTAAATACTCTTGCCCCATCTTTCCTCCAACCTCCCTTCAGGTACTGGCAGGCCGCAGTGAGGTCACCCCGAACGCTTCCCTTTTCCAGGCTGAACAATCCCAACTCAGGGTTCAGCGGAACCGCGAGAAAACTCGGTTAAATCCACACGATTCGTGTCTACCGCGGGCAGGGCCGGGCCGAGCCCCCTCCGCGCTCCCGCAGGGCCCGGCCCGCGCAGGGCTCTGCCCGACCCTGCCCCGGCCCTGTCCCGAGCGCCCTTCCCACGGAAATGCGAGCCCCGCGGAACTGGAAGTGTCCCGGGGATCCGGCGGAAGCGATCGTTGTCCGGGGAGACGCGGCCGCGGCGGCCGGGGCCGAGGATGTGGCGGCTGGCGCTGCTGGCGCTGTCCTGGTTCGGTAGGGTCTTTCCCGCAGGTGAGACCGGGGGGCTCCGGGTGCGCGGTGCCGGCGCGGCAGGTGCGGGCACTGACACGTCCTTTCCTCCCGCCGGGGTCCCGCAGGGGCGGAGCGCGAGCGCGGGCGGCCCCGAGCCCGGTCGTACCGCACGCCGAGATGGCGGACGCGATGCTGGGCAGCGGGCCCGGCCGAAGCCGCCCGTGCCTGCTCTCGGCAGTGCCGGCCGAGCGAGCGACCGCCCCTGCGAAGGACGGCCCGGGGCCGGACGTGCGCCCCACCGGAGCGGCCCCGCAGCCCCCCCGGGCCCACCCCGCGAGCAGCCCGTGCTGGAGCCCGTCCTGCCCGAGGAGCCGAACGGCACCGACAGCGCCAAGGCCCCCAAGGTGAACTGCGAGGAGAGGAACACCACGGGCATCGAGCGCTTCACGCTGCAGATCCTGAACGTGTCGCAGGTACCCGGGGTTGGGGTGAACGCCAAAGGGGGGGAAGGTGTGGGCGTGGTGCTCTCAGTGCTTCACTTAGTGAATGTTATTGTGTAACATCCTCTGTGCTACCGAAGAGAAGATATATCCGGGCAAGGAGGCCTTTCGGGTCATTCTGGTTGGAAAAAAATGGAAATACAGCGCACTCCATGTGCCTGTGCCTGTCATCTCTGTGCCTGCAGGGAGCTGCCAGCTTTGCTGCTCCGTGCACTGGTGCTTCTCTCTGAAATCGTTAATGGCACCTACTACCAGCTTGTTTCTTGTAATGGCTATACCTGTGTATATTTTTAAATTATTAACTTTTAAATCAACCTTTGAAAATGGTTATATGCAATCCTCTACCTGTTGTAAAAAGATTAAGCACAGGTGCAGTTAACTTGGTAATATTGCCCAGTATCTAACTGACTGAGCGGTGCATCCCTACGTAGAATTTAACTCTGTGAAATATGTAGTTGTCCGTGCTTGTTCTTCTTGTTCTTTCTCCAAGGACCTGATGGAGTTCCTAAACCCAAACAGCAGTGACTGTACGTTGGTCCTGTTCTACACTCCGTGGTGCCGCTTTTCTGCCAGCCTGGCACCTCATTTTAACTCTTTACCCCGAGCATTTCCAACCCTTCGCTTCCTGGCACTGGATGCGTCCCAGCACAGCAGGTAACTCTCACTCCCTGTGCTCCATCGGTAGGTTAGTTCTGTTAAATTTGAGTTTTAAAAACAGCAGTGCTCTTTTTTCCATATAAGGTGACAATTTAATTTAGTGAGACTGACAATTCCTGTAACATGACTGTCTTTATTTCTTCCTTCAGTAGATTTAATTTCTTTCCTGCTTTGTGTCTGCCTTATGTCCACCAGTTTATCAACTAGATTTGGAACTGTGGCTGTACCAAATATCCTCCTTTTCCAAGGTGCTAAACCTATGGCTAGATTTAATCATACAGACAGAACGCTGGAAACCCTGAAAGACTTCATCTTTAACCAAACAGGTGTGTCAATCAGCCCTGATGTGTCAGTGGGAAGAACAGGCTGGCTTTTAACTCCAAAATTTCCTCTCCCTGTGTTTGTTCCTTAAAATGAACTTCATGAATACCCAGAGAGGACCCAGCAGAGGTTTATATAGTCAGTTGCTGCCATGAGCTGGATTTCTGTGTGTGCTGAGAGCAGAAAATCAGTTCCTTGGGCTACTGTCATAGAGCAGGGGGAACAGTGGTGTTTAGCTAGAGTGGATGCTAGAAGGTTGGAGCACATCTTCCTGCCCAAAAATTTAATTGAAAGGGAAATAAATTTAATTCTCTTTGCCAGCCAGCTAGTTCTCTTCTAATCTACACTGAACTGCTGTGTGGGTCTACATTTCCAGAAATGCACAAAAATAAAATTCCTGAAAAAACACTCTAAATTAAATTTCCGTGCACTGAAAAACCCCCACAAACTTACCCAAGGCTGTGCTGTGGGAGGACAGAACGAGCCCTGTCCTGCTGTGAAAATACACATAAGAATCAATGTTTTTATGTAAGTAAATCCTTTGATAGATATATGTTAACACACAAGAGCCATCTCACCAAAATTTTAAGTCTACCTGTGCATAAGCCTTAGTCTGAGAACAGAAACAAAGCTCCAGGTAGAACCAGCCTCTCTGTATTTGAGGATTATGACCTTGCTCAGGTGATTTGTTTTTTAGGGATAGAAGCTAAAAGTGACGTGGCTGTGACGAAGGAGGACTGGGAAGGGCCCCTGCCCAGCGTCCTGACGAAGGGCATAGACTGGCTGCTCCTGTTCTCCGTGCTCTTCCTGGCCAGCTTTGTCCTCTACGCGACCCTTCGGACCGAGAGCATCCGCTGGCTCATCCCGGGACAAGAGCACGAACACCAGGAGTAACCTCAGATGCTGAAACGGGGACAAGAAATCCCACTTATTGGTAAAGCGGGAATTTCTATGGCCTAGAAGCACCTAAGAACAAACTGCTGAATTTGTCGGTTGTAATTTATAATAACAGCTAAAAATCGGCTTTATTTATCCACTACTGAATCTGTAAAAAGCACATTGGTGGCGACTGCGGTGGTAAGAAAACAGATACGAAGAAACACGAACTAAAGTATTTATTAGGCTGCTCTGATTGGCCTCTTTCTCGTGGGCTCCAGTGTAATTAGTGATACAGTTCTACTTCGCTCTTCTGAAGAGCTCCCTGATCTACAAGCTCTCCCTTGTAGACCAAGGAAGATTTTTAGAGCTCCCTGGTCTGTACATGGCACTGCAAGGAAAACACTGGTGAAGGGAGATAAATGATGTTTTACAAGACAGTGAACTTCAGATGAGCTGTTCCTTTGTCTGCCAGCAGTAACAGTTCCAAAGCTGTTTCATTCCCGTGGCTGACTGTTCCCACCTCTGGCACTGGGATGGTGCTGCTTTTCTCCTTCACTCTGCCCTGAGTTTTGACTTAGTGGCAGTTCTTGATGAGATTTAGAATAACTTCCCAAGCTGACCTCACTATTTTTGTGTGTGTCTATACAGCTTATTTACCACATTCCTGGAGAATGAAATTGTATTAATTGTCCTTTTTAAAAAAAAATAAATCAGGTTTTTAGTGAAACCTTTTAAGTCACTTTCTTATAGGACTTAAAACATGTGATTTCTGAACTATGGCTCACCTGCCTAAATTAGCAAGACCAGTCCTGATGTTTATTTAAATTTCTACTACCATCTTTGCTGGTTCCACAGTCTCCAGCTGAGGCTACATAAAGAATTGATATTTTTTTAGTTATAATTAGTATGGAAGATTTTGGATAAGGTATGGACTGGTATGTTGTGTGGCATTTGGATTATTTGATTGCATAGCATTTACCACAGTGGAGGCTTGCCAGAGTACCCTGATAGGAAGATTTAGAGAGCAAACTAAGCTAAGGCAAAACAAAGACTTATTGCTTCACAAAGAGTTGTATCTCTGCAACCTAACTCTTCAAGTATTTCTCTGCTGGCTCTGTCTTTTCCTTTGGAAAGTGGAGGTCCTGTATTTCTGTGTCCAAAAAGGAAACTGCACTGGTAAAACGTCGGTATGACCGAAGATAAAGCTACGATGGATGTTATTAATAAAGATCCAAGATTTTGAATGAGTGTTCTTGCCTCTGCCATCTGGTTCATTTGAGAGGCCCAGGGCTGGATTGTCCCTGGTGCTCATCTCCGCACTGCTGAAGAAACAGGGATGTGTTTACAAATGGAACGGGGCTGTTTCAGTGCAGCCCCATGGGATGGAAATGAAACCTGGCAGCTCGCAGTGCAATAGGATCCACCCACGGATGCATCCCGTTCTCCTCCCGGGTACGTGTCATGGAATAATGGAATCACAGAGGTTGGAAGAGACCTTTAGATCGTCCAGTCCAACCGCCCACCCGGCACCGCCGCTGTCACCCCTAAACCACTGAACCACATCACCCAACGCTACATCTCAAACACCTCCAGGGGATGGTGACCCCACCGCCTCCTGGGCTGCCCTTCAGTGTCTGACCACCCCAACAGGGAAAATTTTCTAATATTTAATCTGAACCTCCCTGTCTCAGCTTGAGGCCGTTTCCTCTGGTGCTCTCACGGCAGCACAGCCCCGTCCCACCTCCCTGCACCCTCCTGGCAGGGAGTCTTACAGAGCCATGGGGAGCCCCCCGAGCCTCCTGCCCTCGTTCAAGCGGGAGGCGCGGCGGCGGAGGCAGCTCCCAGCTCCCTTCTCCCCGTTCCCAGCTCCCTATCGTCCCCTGTTCCCAGCTCCCTGCTCCCCGTTCCCAGCTCCTTCTCCCCGCTCCCTGCTCCCGTTCCAGCTCCCTTCTCCCCGTTCCCAGCTCCCGGTTCCCCGTTCCCAGCTCCCTGTTCCCCGTTCCCAGCTCCCCCTCCCCGTTCCCTACCTCCCAGCCCGGTTCCGGGCGCTCCCGGCGGGGGCGGTGCCGGCCATGCCGGGCGGCCGGGCCGGGCTGCGGCGGGCGGCTGCTGGCGAAGCGCGGCGGGCCTATGGTGAGGGGACAGGGACGAGGGCCGGGCAGGCCGGGCGGGGGGCTCGCGGAGCGCGGAGGGACCCGCAGGGGCTCGGGGCAGCCCGGCCGCCTTCCCCCGAGCACTGCGGAGCGGCGGATGGGTGGGATGGTCAGTGGGATTGTGTGCCTGGAGCACGGGCGGCCTGCGGGAACACCTCGGTGCCACCGCTCGGTGCCTGAGTGGGCAGGGGCCTCGTACGGGGACAGCGACAAGGGGAACCGCTGGAAAACTGACCAGGGCAGGCGTTAGGGGATCCGGGAGAAATCACTTCCCTGTGAGGGTTGGGAGGCCCTGCACAGGTTGCCCAGAGAAGCTGTGGCTGCCCCATCCCTGGGAGTGTCCAAGGCCAGGCTGGACGGTGCTTGGAGCAACCTGGGCTGGTGGAACGTGTTTCTGCCCATTGCAGGGGGGCTCAGAACAAGGTGATCTTCAAGATCCCTTCCAACCCAGACCATTCTGTGATTCTCCCTGTGTCCTGCCACCATCCCACTTCATGATTGATTGTTTTGTTTTACACGAAGCTGATAACGAGTGGCACCCACAGGGTTCAGCCCTCGGCCCTCAGGCATGAGATGTTTAGTACTAATTTTTTTATGTAATTAATGAACCATTTCCCCAAGCTTCCTCCAAATGAACAGTACCAATTACAGGTACACCCACACCCGGTGCCTGTTCCTGCCTCTCTGGGGGCTCTGGCTGTGCCCGTGACGTGCTGCTGGGAGGTGGTGACTGCAGAAATGCAATTTGAATCTCCCACCTTATCTTCTTCCTTCTTCAAGCAAACTCCTGCTGCTTTCTGCTACATTTCTGAATATCGTGATGCATCAGGACGTGGCCTCCACAACCCATTCCAAAGCAAAATGTCTGCATCAAACCCAGTCTCCATATTCCTATTAAAACTGCCTGATCAAATTTCAGGTCACAGCACTGTCTTGTCGATGCCTGTGTGTCAGGTGAGGTGTTGGGAAGGCACCACAGTGTCCCCAGAGCTGACAGGACATCTCTGTGCCAGCAGGAGGAGTGGATTTTGTGCTGCCTCCTGGTCGCAATCCTGGACTTTGCTATCTCAAAAAAACCCACCCACCCCCATGATTTTTTGTAAATTAGCAGACTGACTTCATCCTGCACCAGAGAAAATAGTTCATTTTGAGACAGCCTTGAACTGGGGCGATTGTTGTATAGGCTTGGAAAAAAGAGGAACGTAAGAAATTCATGCCTGTGACTGTGGTTATAGCAATGACAAATCTGAAATTTGTGTTCTTGCAAGCCCAAAGTTGTGTTTGAAGTGCAAAGAGCCTAAATTAGTTCAGTTTGGGACCTGTAAAACCCATCCCTTGGTTACATCTCTGGATGTGTCCCACTGAACACAAGCAGCAGCAGTGGTGCTGTTAGATTGATTTACACTGTTTTGGGGGTTTTATCCCATATTATTGATGAAAATGTTGCTCCTTGGCCCTCCTGCATCGTAAAGCCTTGCTCAGGTCACATTAATTGCGTTAATTCCTGCTCTGCTCAGACTCACAGCCCCATCTGGTGGCATCGGGGCTCCCGCTGGAGCAGCAGCTGGCAAAGGTGGAAAATCCTGAGCTGCTGAGCTGGCAGTGGGTCCTCACTGGCCTCCCATGTCTGAGAGAAGCTCTGGAGCAAAACTGCCTTTCTGCAGGTTCTCAGAAAGCTGTGCCAGCTGCTAAAGTAAAGACTAAAGCAATCTGAATTCAGCTGTACTGGGGAGAAAGGTTCTTCCCACCAAAGCAATGCCTTTGTCGTGTGAGTCTGAGACCCCTCTGTCAGGATATATTGTCCTTAGTCTCTTCTTTTAGGAGAAGTGTCAAACCTCTTCCAAAGGCCCCACTGAACGTTCCTCTGTGTCTGGCTCTGGCCTGTATCAGCCCCTGATTCAGATATTCAAGTGTTAGTCTGTCACATCTGTGCTCCCAGTGGCATCAGCAGGACAGGTCACTTCAAATAAACCATATTTAAGCATCAGTGCTTTGCAGAATCTAGTGCTTATAGCAGTAACTTCAAACTTCTTGTAATTGTGTCTGTATTGTCATTCTTTTTCTTTTTATGCAGTCAAAAAGCTCTTTGTTTCTTGTAGAACTCCACAGTGTGTGCTGTCTTAAAATCCATTCCTCCTTTCTCAAAATAGTAAACTACAAGCTGGGTAGAATACAATCTCCTGTTTTGCTTGTCTCTTTTGAAATAGATATTTCCTGATATCTCTTTTAGCCTTATAATTGTACCTTTAGCAAATAATGTAAATAATCCTTTGCTTATATGACAGAGTGGAATGCCTGAAAGTTATTTGAGGTGTTACAGCATCTGAATAATCCAGATGACCAAGGGTGCAGGTGTGCTGGTGTCCATATTCATTCCTGGGGAAAAGCCTGTTGCTTTTCCTTAGTTTTGTACAAAGGCATTTAGCCAGATTTATCTGCCCAAAGAAAGATGATGGGGTTTGGCTGTTTTAGGTATAACTGGACTGTGAAATTATAAACAGTAAGAAACTGTACCGTGAATATTCCACATCCTTACCTTTGCACAGCACATAACCACAATTTCTTCGTGTGGTTTTCTTACTGTTGTACAGCAGAGAACCTCAGCCTCACTCCTGCCTTGCCTTTCTTTGTTTCCCTCAATAGTCTTCCCAGTCTCACTGGTTGACAGCGGAGGAGAGGAACCAAGTTTTACTGGATCTCAAAGCTTCAGGCTGGTCTGAGTTGGGTGAAAGAGATGCCATCTACAAGGAGTTCAATTTCAAAAATTTTAATCAGGTAATTACTGTTATACACCACTTTTCATATAAAGGAAATGTATTTGCTTTAATTTCCATACGATCCTGATGGGAAAATATTTGTATTCAGAAATTTGGGAGTATCTTTGTGAGGCCAAATCCTCTTGGCTTTGCCTTGACGAATTCCTCTCTGATTCTGATCTCATTAGGTGAAGTAAATTAATTCTGTTTCATAGTTGATAAGTAGATGATTATAATATTAGGGCCAAGGTTGGTCCTGTGGAATTAGACAAATAGTATTTGATCTCCATTTTTTTTGTTGTTTTCATTGCCAGCATGCGTAAATGAATGCTGGAAATACATAACTGATGGACAGTGGGGTTCCTTTTTGTCAGGGATAAACTTGAGAAAAATGGGTAAATACAAGAACAGAAACTTTAGCAAATAAGGTGGGGAAAATGGGACATGTTTCACCTTCTGAGCAGGAAGACAGAGTTCTGGTACATCCTTGAATGAGCTGTAGAAGATGATCTCGCAGTGTCTTTGGCACACAAACTGCTGGTTTTTATTTGGAGGCAGGATCCTGAGCCACATCTCAAACCCACAAGAACTCGTGCTGGACCATCAGTTACAAACTTGCTTCAGAAACACTGAATTTACCTTGAGATGTGTGTTCAGCCCCATTCCCCTGTAAATTCCTTCCTGAGGAATCATGACATTGCTTAGAAAAAGTCACGTTCCCAGAGTGTGCATTTCCCTTCTGTTTTATTTCTGAGGGAGGGGTGAGTGCTTTCTGGGGAGGGAGAGGATTCCCAGGGGTTTGTTGGGATGATGGCTCTCCCTGAGCCGGTTCTCTCCCTCGCTGTGGAGGGACATGGTGAGCTCCAGCCTGGGGATGCCAAGGGTTTGTTGTGTGTGTGGGGACCAGGAGCTGTTCTCTGAGCTGTTTATTTACATGGCTGTGCCTAAGCCCAGACCAGGATGTTTTAGGAAACCACAGTGAGCTGGATAAACAACAGTTTGTAACTGTGGCTCTTTTTTTCACTGTTTCAGTCAGCAGTCGTGGGGTTAGTAAAGCCCAGGCAGCAGAGAGAAGGTGAGTGAGGTGATCCCAGCCCCTCTGAGCTGGGTGAAAGCAAGAGAGAAAACCACTGCAGGAAGATCCAGCTCATGAGCAGGACAGGGCTGGTCCAGGGAGTATGTTTTTTTCTGGATTGCACTTCAGACCTGAAGGTTACTACAGAGCAAACAGAACCATGTCAGACCATGCAGAGGGCAGTGAAAGGGAGAAGCCCATGAGAGGGAGCTCACATGAGGCCTTGGTGAGATGTGCAGGCAGCTCAGGGCTCGAGCTACCTGCA